GTCATCCAGTCCATCTTGTACCTAAAAGGAATCTCTGTTACAGTATCCCTAAAAAAGTTGTTCTTTAGCCTTCACTGGATAACCTATAGTGATAACAGAAAAACCCAGTACCTCCCAAAGCAGTCCATTTCACCTTTGAACAACTCTAATTATTTGCAAGTTTTCTTTCTTCATACTGAGCCCACATTTATCTCCCTGAAGGTTTCCTATCCACTACTCTTATTTCTGGGCTTTGGGACCAAGAAGAACAAATCTAAGCCATTTTTCATTACATAGTCCTCCATTTACTCAAAGACAACTTGGATCACTTCCATCATTAGAGCAAGTTGTTTTCTGGCTAGTCTAAACATTCTCTTTTCCTTCAACTGATTCTTTTAGGTCACTGTCTCAGTTTTCTTGACTGACTATTTTAGTTGCCTTTCTAGATACACTCTACTTTGGAACCATTCTTCCTACAATGCGGTGCCCAGAATTCCACATGACCTGGATAGTACAGACTAATACAAGATTGTTGGCCCTCTCTGCTGGACACAGTGCTTCTCTTAATGAAGGATGAGTTCATATTAGCTTTTCTAGCTGCTATTGTACTCTTAACTTGAGCTTGCTATTCAGAGAAACTCCAGTTTCTTGTTCCTTTTCACACAAACTGTTATCTAGCTGCAATTCCCCTGTCCCATACTTATTCAGTGTTTTATTTGGACCCAAGTATAAGGCTTTACATTTGTACTTATCTGCTATATCTTAATAGATTCAGCCTGTCACTATAGCTTGTCAAGATCTTTTTGAATCTGGACTCTATTATCCAGTATGTTAGCTATCCCTTCAGCTTGGTGTCATCTGCATATCTGACAGGTATGGCGTGAATTCAATAACTACTACTTCTTGGATTTGGTCATTTAGCTAATTTTGATTGCAACTAACTGAGCTATTCTTTATTAATCCCATGCTGGCTTCTAGTGACCAGTACTCTGGCACTTCATTTCTCTTTCTAACTGCTTACAAACTATCTCTTTTAATATTACACTTTGAAAATTGACCCAGAATTCAAGCAAACTAGCCATTAGAAAACCAGGACAGCGCTTGCCCACCTCCAAACCTGATTTTTGACAATTTTTCATAGATTAGCAAGTGACTTAGCTTCCTCATCCATAAGCTGTTACTATATGAGGAGATAAAGTTTGGCTCGGCATGTTAGGGAATTAGAATTTACTTAAGGAAGCCAGATGAACTCTTACTATCTGCTCACTTAGATCAGATTTCATCCACTGTTTTTGTTCTTCCAGTCTAAATAAAGATCATTTGTTTTGCTGGAGAAATGGACCCATTCATTCCAAGCAGCAGTCTTATCCTTTCATCTTTCTCTTACTTTCAATGTCGCTAAATTACCCTGCTTTGTTATCCTTAGAATTTATCCCCAGTTCATTCTGAGCTTTAACATTGCTGTCACTATTCTTACAAGACCATCCTATCCTTCTCTGTTTCTGTTTTTCAGTTATCTATCCTCATTTCCATCCTCTCTACTTGTCTTTTTAAAACCTAAGTTGACTAAGTTTCTCCTATGCATCTGCATTAATCTTAGATATATCTTACTCTTAAACTTTCATTTATTTTTAAGTTTTATTTATGCCTTTTGGTTTTTAAACTATTTCACAATATTCTCACCATTCTCCCACCCCCAAATCTTCTCTTGTTATTTAAAAAAAAAAAGTTAAGCAAAACCAGCTAATATACCAGCCATGTTTGACAACCTAAGTAACATTCAGCACCTGTAGTCAAGAGGAGAGATGTTTGTTTCATCATCTGCTCTCCACAACTAGTATTAGGTATTGCCTTTACTCTTGAGTTCAACTACTTTTTACTATTATCTTGAGTTTTAAACTCTTTGTTAAGGTAGGGGTCTGTTTTCAGTGTGGAAAATGTACTGTCCCAAGCTTCAGGGGTTTTGTGTAGCTGTTTTCAGAGATAATTCTAGGGACCTGTAAATTTTCAGTTCATCCAAGGTGGTATAATCAAATGAGAGGTGTTTACTCCTTTCCTGGCCTGTGCTCTGGTTGATGAGTGACCACAAGCACTCTATTCTGCCTTGGGAACTGTGAGGCGATTCCCTCTCCACTGCTGCCACAAGCTCCACCACACCAGCATTCCTCCTCGCCTCAGGACTGCCACCCAGAACTGTGACCCAGATCCAAGCATGGGAAAAGCAAGAGAATCCTGCCTCAGCACCAGCAAAGAGATCCCTGCAATCCCCCTCTGATCAGCCGCTTGATCCCCCCCTTTGTCTGTGGGCTGAGAACTCTGGAAGCAGCTGCCACCCTGGGGTGCACTGGGACTGGGGCTGGGACCAGCTTCTCTCTCACCATGGTCAGATACACCTTTCCTACTGACGTTCTAAGTTTTCTTTGGTGTTTGTGGGTTGAGAAGTCTGGAAACCACCACAGCTCCCCTTCATTCAATCCCCTGAGAACTGTTGCAGGTTCGCTGAGGTCCTATTTTTGCCTGCATGGCCCAAGCTGAACTGTGCTCCTCTCCTAGCCCAGCGTAATAGACCTTTCCAATCAATCATCCAGGTTGTCTTGGGCTGGGAATTTGTTTCACTCTGTCTTTTTGTGGATTCTGCTGATCTAGAATTTGTTTAGAGCCATCTTTTTACAGGTGTTTGGAGGGGTTTGGGGGAGACCTCAAGCAAGTCACTGCTTTTACTCTGCCATCTTGGCTCCACCCCTACTATTATCTTTATTTACCTTATTATAGTAAACGTCTGTATTGATCTTTTGGTTTTACTTTCTTTACTATGTATCTCTTCATATAAGTCCTCCATGTTTCTCTGAATTCCCCTTATTCTACATTTATTATGAAGCAGTAGAATTCTATTACCTTCATGTACCACAATTTATTCAACTAATTTCTAGTCGATTGACCCAATTTTCTTTTAACTCTAATCCTTATCCTAATTTCTTTTAAGTTTTATGTCACTGCAAAAAGGCCTACTATGAATATTTTGGTATTATCTTTTGGACCATTCTTTCTTCTTTTGTCCTTTTTGGGCAAAGAGTGTCTGAACACCAGTCAGTGGGAATACTAAGTCCAGGTGTCAGAACAGTTTAGTAACTTTTGTTTAATGATTCAAAACTATTTCCCAGAATGTGTTAATGTGCTTATTTTCCCACACCTCCTCCAATATTATTTCCATCTTTATAATTTGATGGGTGAGATGAAACCTCAGTTTAAATTACGTTTCTCTTATTAGTGTTTGGAACATTTGATTTGATCATGGTTGTAAATATTCTGAATACCTATTGTTTATTTCCTTTGACTGCTTATTTCATTGAAATCCTTTGTATTTGTGTCTTCAGAATATCATTCTTCCTTTACCTCTTTAGCCAACTTTCTGTATAAAATTTTGGGATATGGAATCATACAATCTATTTTCTTAAAATTTGGAGCATTTAGACTACTTGACTTTCCTATTTTTCTCCATCATGAAGTGTGAGGTAGAGTTCAACTATATCTCAATGTTACCATCATTTCAGATTCAACCACTTCCTTCATATTGGTCAAAATCAGATCAAGAATACCCCTCACAACTTCCTCATATTTTAAACAATGAAGTCATTAACACAAGTTAAGAATTTATCATCCACCTTGCTATCGGCAGAGAACGAACTCTAGCATATATCTGTGTGCTTCTTTTAGTAGTGTCTTTTGTTCCCAGTTGAATCCCCAGAAAGGGTATTGGTTGTCAGGTTTGGCAGTGTTACCTCCCTGGAAACAGCATTTGTTGTTTTTCAATCCTGTCCAACTCATCATATCTGATTTTTCATGATCCCATTTGGGGTTTTCTTGGCAGAAATACTGGAGTTGGTTTCTCATTTCCTTCTTCAACTCATTTTACAAATGAGAAACTGAGGCACACTAGGATTAAGTAACTTGCCCAGCATCACACAGCTACTAAGTGTCTAAAGCTGGATCTGAACTCAGGTCTTCCTGATACCAGGCCCAGCACTCTACTCACTGTACCACCTAGGTGCCCTAATAGCTAATCTCTCTGTTGTTAATGTTAGGTTGGCATATGAGTACCTCACTGTCTCTTAGCAAGGAGTCATTAACCAGCACCACTTTTCTTAGCCCCTTCACCTTCTGTCTATAGGTGACTAACTTTTACACTGTTCATATGGAACTCATATTTGTCAGAGGCAGAAACAAACATATCATACTTTTGCCAGTTCTGTGCAATATTCCTCTTGCTCTGCATACTTAAGAATAGAGACCCTCACTTCTGTCTTCTTGTTGTTAGCTTTTGTGGCTCATTCACTTTTCAAACTGCCTGTTTGCCACATGAGATTTCAACACATTTATGGACTTTTCAGATTAGAGCCCCCAAATATTTGTCCCATTGGGAAATTGATACTGATTATGAATTGAACTTGATCTGGTCCTCTTTCCTCTGGGCCAGTGGTTACCTTTGAAAGGAAGCATTCTTACTAAAAAAGATCCAAAAAGTTTTGACTAACTTGTGTATCACTCTGGATAGAAAAAAATTGATCTATGAATTAAATTGTGAAAGATCAAGACAAGCCATTAACGAAATATGTAGGACACTATTATCCCTTCTTTAACACTATCTAGTTTGCTAGGTTGCATCAAGTTCCAAAACAAAGAACTATATATATAAGGTAACAATTGGGCAGCTAATTAAAGTGGTAGAATAAATTATACTAGGACCATCAGCCTATACTTGCTTTAATATTTGGGTTTTCTGGAACTGAGTTAAAAACTTCATTTCAGTACCTTCGTTAGAATTGTACTTCATTGCTTTTAAAACAAATCCTCAGCTCCAGTCAGTCTAAACACATATCAGCTAAGTGACAAGGAAAGACAATCCAGGAGGATTCTGGGTGGGTAAGATAAACTTACCCAAGATTAAAAATTCACACTGAATAATTCAAAAAGCACATAATCTGTGTATAGATAATTGAGAATTGTTTATTTTTTGTCCTCAGGAATTTTTTGAGAACCCTGCCTTCCGCCCTGATGGTATGAAACTCTACCCTACACTGGTGATACGTGGAACTGGACTTTATGAGCTTTGGAAATCAGGAAGATATAAGAGTTATTCTCCTAGTTGCCTTGTAGAATTAGTAGCTCGAATATTGGCTCTTGTACCACCATGGACACGAGTGTACCGAGTGCAGAGGTAATGTGTTGCTCTGTCCATGTTATTTCTTACTTCAATACTTTGGTGGCACTATGATCTCATCATTCTTTGGATATTCCCTACATTGGTACAGATCAGAACTGTTCCATGAATGCCTTCTATCAGTGATTCTTGTTCAGATCTTTCCATAAATATTCAGTAGAGGAGTTACCTAGTCTGCTAGAGAATTTCCTTGAAGATTTTTGATTTTCACAGATAACAGTATAACGCTTAGGCCTATCTATCTTTTATCCCTTGTTCTATTGCCTTTTGTCCTAAACATCTTTTATCATTTGCTTGTATCCACAATGATCTCTCCATTGACTTTTGAGTCACCAGCAATTTTGATTCTTCAGGCATAGCAGTATTACTATTTGCAACTATGTAGCATGTCCAGACAAATGTTGATATTGAAAATACGGGCCTTTTTTTTTTTTTTTAAATCAGGAAACAGCTTAGAATCATTGAAAAGGCTGCACAGTTTTCCAAATGCAGCCTAGCCACTATTTTTCTTAGTTCTCAGACCATCTCATTGTCCATCTGAAGTTCCTGTCCAAGATGTGCATAGTGATAGATCAATTCAGTAGACTTTTCCTTCCTAATACATTTCATGGTTTGGGCACTATTGATGAAGCAAATGCTTCCCCTGCCAAAATTCAGTTGACTGGCTCTGTCTGTTCACATTTTTACCACTCTATTATAACCAATGAATATTTTGAGAGGCTTAAAGATATGAATGATTGGGACACAGTAAAATTTATCATATCTAATTTATCATAACTAATATCATTTAAAATGATATTAGTTTATTGTTTAACCCCAGAATCTTAATGAAGTCTGGAAGTAGAAGGAATTGAAAATGAACACGTAGTATCAGAATTTCTCTGCCCCTTTGAAAAGATGAGGAAGGACATGGTAGAGAACTCTCTCTCTGCAGTTACTGCCATTATTAAGGGGAGATTTACTTGGAAAATGAAATCTTCTCTCAAACCAGTTTTGATTACTTGGGAAGAACTAAAATGAACTTTACAGTTCCCCTCTCCATGTAGTAACCTCATTGGTCTTCAGATGAAAATCTTTGGTGGGGAGGAAGGAAAATAAAATCTCTTTTGCAATCAGAAACTTCTAATGATCATCTACAGGAAGTCTTTCCAAGACTCTCTTAATTCTAGTGCCGAGCACTTTACAAATATTAACTCATTTAATCTTCACAAACCCTGGAAGGTAAGTTCTGTTGATAACCCCATTTTACAGTTGAGAGAACTGAGACAGACAGCTTAAGTGACTTACCCAGGGTCACACAGCTAGTAGGTGTCTGAGGCCAGGTTGGAGCTCAGATCTTCCTGAATCCAGACCCAGTGGTCCATCCACTGCATTACCAGCTGCTTCCATGGTATACATCCTGTCTACATATGGCACTCCTTTTTAAGCTGAAATCTAGACCTGCCTTCAAAACTGCTAGCAGAACTCTGAATGAGAGGCTGTGGTATACACTTAAGCATTAATGCTACAGGGCAGAGATGTCAAATTTGTGTGGTCCCTAGCACTCTGGAGTGTGGCCCAAACCAGATTAAAATATGATTGGGAAATATTTAACAAAATTAATAAAAATAGAGTAAAACATAGATAACACTGTATTTTAAAACTAACTGAACATGTGGCCCACAGGGATTTTTATGTGCAGATTAATGGCCCCTGTTTCTACTTGAGTTTGACACCAGTAATGGAGGGCATGTATTGGATTTTCCAATATGAAGAGGAAATTGTTGAACACTGTTTTATGTATGTTGTTCCAGAGCATATGTGAGAACAGAATACTCTATCCAATATTGGGGAGAGGGCAGCCTAGTGTAATAGAAAAAACATTGGCCTTGGAATCAACAAACCTAGGTTCAAGACCTGCCTTTGATACTTACTAGCTACCTAGCCTCAGTAAGTCACTTAATGACAATAATACTACAAAAAACAGCAGCCCTCATTTATTTAGTGCCTTGAGGTTCACTATATGGACATTAATCTCATTTGATCATTTCAACCACCCTGCAGAGTATTATTAGTATTATCTTCATGTTATAGTTGAGAAAACTGAGGCCGAAAACATTGTGACTTGTCTGGGGTCTTTCAGCTATTAATTGTCTGAGAGATGTGTATATGAAATATCGAAACCAGTGTGGTAGACGAATAACTAAAGATATCTGTGCCCTATATCTCTCTTGCCACTCCAGATCCCATTTGTTGGTTCTTGTCCTGAGAGATATTAAATTACATATCCAGGAGAGACTAGTTCTACCTAGAACTTCAGGGTAGAACTGAGTGACCCAAGGTCATTAGAGGTAGTAGTGTTTTGTACTCAGAAGGACAAGAGAGGATGGAATGTTTTATAACTGTGCCAATATAGGTAAACAGACTCTAACCACCTTTGAATAAGACACCAGTCATAAAAAGTAAGGGTCAATGTGCCAGGTATTGAGTAAGGCCTTGGGACCACAAAGACAAAAATTAAATAATCCTTACCCTCAAGGAGCTTACATTCTCTGTCAGGAGTTAGCATATATGTAAAGATAAATAGAGAAGTTAGTAGGATTTTGTTAGTGAGAGGGGTTTCATTTAAAGGCCTCATCAGTCATTATATCCATTTCTGCCTCTCTGTCCCCAGTCTTATCTCAGAGGAAGGGGGTTTTGTCTAAGTAGGCTGCATTACCCCATGTAAAATAACTTACTATTAGTGGATCTTGCCTTCCTCTTCCCCCTCCACTTCTAGATTTTATTTTCTTTCCAGTGCTGTCTCTTCTGCTTCTGGTCCAGTTTGGTGGGTGTCCCCCAAGGCTCTGTGCTGGGCTCTCTGTTCTGTCTCCCTTAATGACCTCATCTGCTCCCATGGGTTCAGTTATCATCTCTATATAAATCATTCCCAGATATATCTGTCCAGCTCTAATCTCTCTCTTAAGCTCTAATCTCACATCATCATCTACATTTTGGACATCTTGAATCGGATGCCCATCTCAAATCTCAAATGCACCATGTCCAAAGTAGAACTCATTTTCTTTTCCCTCTAAACCCTTTCTTCCAAATTTCCCTGGTCAATTGCACCACCATCCTCCCAGTGAGCCAGGCTCACGACTTCAATGTCATCCTTAACACCTGTGTCTCACTCACTCCACATATCCTGTCTGTTGCCAGGTCTTATAAATTCTACCTTTGCAACATCTCTCATATAAATCCCCTTCTCTGCACTCACACAGCCACTGCCCCGGTGCAGGCATTCATTACCTCACTCCTAGAGTATTACAGCCGCCTGCTGGCTGGTCTCCCTGTCTCAAGTCTATTCCCACCCCATCTATCCTCCGCTCAGCGACCAAAGCAGTGTTCCTAAAGCACATGTCTGCTGTTGTCTCTGTTCTACTTAATAAATTCAGCTAGCTGTAAGATCAAATATAAAATTCTCTGTTTGACTTAAAGCCCTTCACAGCCTGGCCTCTTTCTTCTCTTCTAGTCTTCTTACTCTTTAATTCCATGCACACCGTCCACGGTGTAGTGACTCTGGTCCTTCTACTGTTCTTCATGCACGTAATATTCTCATCTCCTGTCTCCATGCTTTTATGCTGCCTGTCCCCTGTACTTGGAATGCTTCACCTTCTCACCCCTCCTTCTTATTTCCTTGTTGTGCAGTGGATGGAAGTGTTGGGCATGTAGTCAGGAAAACCTGAGTTTGAATCCTGCCTCTGACACTAGCTGTGTGACCCTGAGCAAGTAACTTTGCCTCTGTCAGCCTCAGTTTCCTCATCTGTAAAATGCAGAAAATAGTAGCACTTCCCTCACAGGGTTGTTGTGAGTACCAAATGAGTTAACATATGTAAAGCAGTTTGCAAATCTTAAAGCGCTATATAACTGCTTCCTTCAAGACTCAGCTCAGATCGTGCAGCAAATGGGTTTTCTGGGTCCTAACCATTAACAGGCGAAAAATCTAAGGAGATAGAAGGTTCAGCATTACTGTAAGCTTTCAAGCCAACTGGAGTATAACTTTTCAATGGTGTTATAGAGTGAATTCCTTTTTAGATAATGGATTGGATTGGATAATTTCTAATACTTCTTTTAGCTCTGAAATTCTGTGAAAATAAAGTAACGGTTAAGCCTTTTTACATTACTTACTGAGGTATGAAAATACAAACATACATAATTACTACAGTTTTTAACATTTCCAGGATAATAAAAAAAGGGCATAAATGATTTGAACATTCTTGGGATGATAAGATTTAGAGCTGGATGAGACTTTGGAAGCCATTCTCCTCCAACCCCTTCATTTTACAAATGAAAAAATTGAGACCTTGAGAAGTGACTTGTCCGTGGTCAAACATTGGCAGAGCCAGTTCTCACACCAGAGCCTCTGACTCCAAATTCAGCATTCTTTCAACTACACCCAGATGCCTCCTAGGCTTATGTAGCATATCTTAGATATAATAAGAGCAGCAAATATGTTTATTTCAAGCCAAAGTGAATGCATTCTACTCTGGATATTATTCACTTGATTTCTTCTCCTTTGTTAGTAAGCTTGAACAACAGCTTATTAGCTATGTGAGTGCGATTTATGTAATTTCTTTAGGTCTCAGTTCTTCACTTGCAGAAAATGAATTAGACTAGATGATCTCTCAGGGCCCTTTCTAGAATGCTAATCAAACATAGATCAGACATTCTGCTTTAATATATTATAGTCCTGAAAATAACGAGTTAATTTTTCATTAAAATTTTTAAAAATCACCCATATACACAATGATCTTTCTTGATCTTAGAAAAAGAAAGTATTCATTTTATAACTTTTATTTTAGGCCTTTTCATTTTAGGCCATCTTTATAACCTTGGCTCAGCTAATTAGCAGAAGCAGCACTTAGAATCTCACCTTAGATTTAGATCATCTATGTGAAAAGGCTATTTTTCTCCCACACCTGTATAGACCTTTTTTCTGAAGTACTCTTAATACTAATTGTCTGGATTTTTGAACATGGAACATCTTTTCAGCTCTAATAAGGCAAATAAACTGGCTGATTGGCTAATTGTGTTTTCTTTGCATTTGTAGGGGTAAATGAAAAGAAATTGAAAAAAACAAATCCATTTAGAGAATTGATGTGCAAAAGAAAGATAGTTGGCATGTTCTGTAAACAAAGACAGCTAGTACTTAGAGTTGAATAGGAAATAGTTGCCCAAAAGGCAAGCAATATTCTCAGTGTAGATTTTTCTTTTCTATAGTGTTTCTTGTGCCATCTTCAGCTATTGAAGTTCGTTGGATAGGGGTAATTAGAACAATTTCAGTGATAATTGTACTTTATAATTACAAAATATTAATATATTTTATATTGTATGTGCGTATGTGTATATAGTATATACACACATACACGTATTTTATCTCATTTTTTCTTTGCTCTGCTAAACTTATGTGGATAGTGCAAATGTCTTGAAATCAAAGGTTTCAGAATTGGAAGTGATCATACCTGAAAAAAAAATCCCCTTTATAATAACATCCTGACAAACATGCATCCAACTTCCACTTGAAGACCTCTAGTGATAGAGAAAATGTTTCCTAAGGAAACCCATATAGCTCTCATTATTAGGAAATTTTACTTCATATTGGGTAAAATCTATCTCTCTAATTTCCACTCATTTGTGGATCTCTTTCCTTCTTTTCTTTGTGTGTTTATGTTGTTTTGACCATATAAGTGTTTAAAAATACATTGATAACAGGAGAGAGCCTTTGAAGTTTTATATGGTTTCTTACAAAGGCTGCCTTTCTTTGAATGCCTATGAATACCATAATAGATTTCCAGATACAAGAATTGGGTCCTTAAAGATAAGTTGGAGATTAGAAAAAGATTCAGTACTGCCATTTTACTTCAGTAGGATTTTCCTTCCTTAAATGAGTTAAAGTTTTTAAACTTTTATTTCTAGTTTCATTTAGAACAAACCAGTTTGTATCATCATCAGAAAATTATAGGTCTTTATTAGTCATTTTCATAATATTTTCTAGTGCTACATGGTAATTTTCATCAAATGTACCTTACTGCAATCCTGGGGGTTGAGTATCATAATTTTGTAGATGAGAAAATTGATGAAAAGATGTGAGAAGTGAAATGCCTTGCACCTGATCTGTGTGTGTGTGTGTGTGTGTGTGTGTGTGTGTGTGTGTGTAATTGATTACTTAATCTATGAAACAATTCTGCTTTAATACAGAGCATTATTTTTATGTCCCAATATCTGATGTTCTTTCTCCTCTACAGAGATATACCAATGCCTTTAGTCAGCTCGGGAGTGGAGCATGGGAATTTGAGGGAGCTGGCATTTGCAAGAATGAAAGACCTTGGGATACAGGTAAAAAAAAAAAAACCAAAAACCTTATGATTGAGATCAGAGTAACTAGATAAACTGAAAAAGCTTTCTGTTAGGTTGCTTCTTGCAAGTGATGGCCAACAAACTTATTAGGCATTGTCATCATTTAACTTACCTGTTCTCAGCAAGTGAGTGTTGTGGCCAGTGATTGCTCAGGGTGCACTATCTCATGTCCCTGTCACCTTCACAGACCAGCGTATTTCAGTTATCTGCGTTTATGTCTTCCACTTCCCTTTTAGTCAGCAAATACTCTTTGAGCACCTACTAAGTGCACAATGCTGTGCTAATCTCTTTGAAAAATACCAAAAACTCTAAGAGATCCTCTCAAAGGATTTATGAAGTAGATGAGAATACAAAAATAAGTATATAAAGCAGTTAACAAGCAATAGAAGGCAGTTTTTGCTGTTTCCTACCCCCATTCGCACACCATGATTAGCACAAATCACAGGAAGTAGATACTTCCCTTCTCATGCTCACAGTCTCATTAATATGCAAACAGCAACTATAAAACATTTTTTGGAATTCAGCCAAGCATCTTTGACTGTGGTCAAGTCTATTTACTACAGATAGTTGCCACAGTGGATAGAACATTGGCCCCTAGAGCCCAGAAGACCAGCCTCAGACACTTACTAGCTGTGTAACCCTGGACAAGTCATTTAATCTCTGCTCATCTGTATTTATTCATCTGTAAATGGATATAATAATAGTACCTACCTTACAGAGGTCTTTTGTGCGGTTCCAGTGAGATGATGTATGTGCAGCACTTTGCACACCTTAAAGCACTGTATAAATACTAGCTGTTATTACTAGCTACAGACAAGCAATGATGCACATATACATTCATGATAGCAGTGCAAAGAAGATCATGATTGTTTTTTTTTCTTTTATTGTAATGTATTTTTATTTTGAATTTAAACACAAAAAAATGATCATTTCTACATATACAGCAGAACACTAAAAGAGAACTGTATATGAAACTCTATTTCATACTGCTTATTTTTTTAAAAGCATATAAGTAATTCCAAATATATTATTTTCAAAACTAACTTGCTTGTCTTTGCTTCCTTCTGAACTCCCTTCTGTTGTCTTCTGTGCTTTAAGAAAAACCGTTTCAGTGGTCCTCTTTTGGGTGGGGTGGGGGTGGCGGGTGGCACATCACTAATTGCTAATTCTTTGTTTCCCTTCAGTCCCCTTTCTCAGTTCAAAACTGAGAGGGGAGAAAAATGCCTTGTAACAAATAAGCATAGTCAAGCAAAACAAACCTACACAGTGGCCATGTCCAAGAAAATGTCTTTTTCTGCACCCTGAATCCATTACCTAGCTGTCAGGAGGTGGATAATGTTTCATCATAGGTCCTCTGGAGACATGGTTGGTTATTGCATTGATCTGAGTTCTTCAGTCTTTCAAAGTTGTTTTTCTTTACAGTGTTGTTATACTTATATAAGTTGTACTCCTGATTCTGTTCGTTTCACTCTGTATCCGTTCATACTACCCAGGATTTTCTGAAATTTTTTTTCATATCTGCAAATAATATTTGTAGTGCAGTTATTGTGGTTATATTTCATTATATCCATATATAATTTCATCATCAATTTCAATCACTACAATTTTATCAAGGTTGTTTTTCTTTACAAATTTGTTGACAGAGTATAAATTATTCTGCTGGTTCTACTCATGTTATTCTGTATACATTCATAACCAAGTCTTCCCAAGTTTCTTTTAAACTCATCTTGCCTCTATAAAAATTAAAAGCAAATGATGTTAACCTTCCTTCACTGGCTTTCTTTGGTCATTGTTTGGGCCTTAATTGGCTCAGAGTGAATGTAAATAGCAATTTTTTCTGTTTTGGCCAGAAATCCTGAGGGTCTTCTCCTCCCAGATTGATTTTTTTTTTTTGACTAGGTGAAAGAGGTCATTCTCTGCCTCATGTCTTACCTAGCCTTAATCACTAAATGGGCATTGCCTCAGTCAAATTGAGACATGTTAAGGAACTTAGCTTAAAAAGGCCAAGGTCTCCCACTGCCTCCAGGGCCATCTCCAGTAGTCCTAATTTGCATCTTGCCACTGGACCCAGATGGCTCTGAAAGAGAAAGTGAGGCTGGTGGCTTTGCACAGCCCTCCTTCACTTAATTCTAATTCACTTGCATGTCATGGCATCACCTTCCTGATGTCACGGTCCTCTTTGAAAACGAAGGACAAACAATAACAAGGATAGGAACTTTGCAAATAATGCAGATGTGGAAATTGTTGGTTGTGTTTATCTTTTACATTCTATATTTATATTTCATAGAATCATAGGGTCTTAGCATTGGAAAGGATCTTAAAAGGCATCTATCTAATCCAATCTCCTATCCTGTATATGAATTCATTCTACAAAATCCCTGAGAGTCATTCAGCTCTGCTTGAACACTTCCAATGATGAGCACATCTCCCAAGACAGTTCCATTTTTTAAAGTTCCTGTTATTAGTTGCTATATTGCATAAAAGGTTGCCTCCACATAATTTCCACAAAATTCTGTCCTCTATATATAGACTGATTGTCTCTTCTTCCCAATAACAACACTTGAGATATTTGATGACAGCTATCCTGTTCCTCTCTCAACCAAGCCTTCTATTTAAAACTCTAATTGTTATGTTCTTTCCCCTGGCTCATACTATTCTCTGATTTTAATAATAATGTTCTTAAGGCTTGCCTTACATGTGGTGTCTTTCTAAGTTTTCGAATACAGCGAAATTGTACTTTGCATATATTTTTGTATTCTCCATTCCCAAAGTATATTAAGCATGACTTGGTACATGTTTCATTTTGAGGTTGATTCATTGGATTTCTCTGAGTGAATCATGTCATTGAAACTTAATTCTGAATCTCAGAGGTTAGTGAAAATGGCCATCAAAGTGCTGAGCCCAGCCCTTTATTGTGTATTTTTCTTGATATTCCTTTTTTTTTTTCCAAACAGTGTCGTGATGTGAGAACCAGAGAAGTTGGAATCCAGGAAATTCATCATAAAGTGAGGCCATACCAGGTTAGTTTCTTGAATTTACAAAGATGTATTTTTTTATTTTTCATAAGATGATTGTCAGACCCAGGTTCATGCCAACAGGCTTGGGAGATTGATAGGTGGTGAGCCAAGAATAAGGGAGTGGTTTAGAGATGAGCTTGGGCATCAGAACCAACATTAATTAAAGGAGACTAGAGTTTAAGAGACGTTAGTTCTAGGAGACTTGGATCCAGCCACCAGAATCATTTCTCCTAAAGTACTGTCAGAGCAGGTGCTAGAAGATAAAAGCAGAATGAGAAGTTTGGTTGTTATCTTAGTATTTGCCTGAAGGGGACTGAAGGTTTTTCTACTTCTTCTCTGGGTTGCAGCTATATTGGAATTGAGAATGTAGAGATTCTTTAATGGTTTGGGGCTGAAATCTTCAAAGTTAGTAAGTCCATACCCTTAGAAACTTCTGAATCAAGTGGTTATGTTTCTCAAGAATTGTGTTTTTCTGTAGTTCTTATAGCCTAGCGTCTAGTCCCCAGAGCCATCTCCTGGCATTGAGGATCCAACATTTGAGGTCTGTAACATTATGTAAGGTCAAATCCCAGTGTAGTTCTTAGGCATCTGAACCGTACTGGTGCTCATGAAGCAAATTTGGACATTCCTCTTTTGTCCTACCTTTGGTTTAGTGATCTTCAACACAGCTATGTTCCATTATGCAGATTTCCAAGTTTATACAATGAATAACTTGAGAAACTGATGCTTTGCTTGATAGGTGATTATAAAAAGGCATTGTAAGTGCAACCCTTAGCTTACCATGGAAGTACAAATGCAAAGTGCAAACTTTTTTCAGTAGCATAAAAAATTTTTAAAGGCTCATAAAAGATCTTTAAAATATCATAAAAACAAATACCTCTTAAATCCATTTTTTAAAAAGTAGTTTTATTGTTGCCTTTTGTTTTTATGCCATAGTAATTTCACCATAATCACCCATCCGCACTGAAGCCTTTCTTGTGTCAAAAAAAAAAAATTTAAGCAAAAACAAGTAACAGAATAACTGCCTGTTAGAATGTATTCTATGTGACACATCCATGAATGCCAACCCGCCTCTTTACTGAGAGGAGGAAAGGTTTTCTTAATTCTGTAGGACTGAGATTTTTCATTAAAATTCATCATAGCTCAACTGTTTTTTAGGGCTATCACTTTTTATATTTAGTCACAGGGTTTAGAGTTCTCTTAATTCTTCCTCCATCTGAAGCTATTCTTTTTTCAACTGCTATGCCAAGGTGTGCCACGGTTATATGAAGGATTTCCAGAATGTATAATGGAACCATTCCCTTCTTTGAGTTATATTTTGTAGGTTCCTGCCAAATACTTCCTATCATAATTTACGCTTCTCTGAACTCTGAGATAAGGTAGGAGTAGAACCTGCCAAGGAACCCAGTTTTGTTTTTTTGTTTTTTTGTTTTTTTTAATGACAGTATAGAATAAACAGTAGGATTATAACAGTAGAGTACCTCACTAAAAGTTTGACTTACTAAGATTTAGAAGATACTCACGTTTACTTGGTTCAAAATCCTTTTCCAAAAAAACAAAATCCTTTTCCAAAGTGAAAACAAAGCTCCCCAAAGAACCCTTCCTCTAGAATTAGTTATCCCTTTACACTTGAAGATGGTCTTCTTTCTAGGCCAATTTTATATCCAGAAAAAAAAAAACAACACATTTCACTGTGTTTAGTGATAAATTAGCATTTTCTCTTTAAATATGTGGTTTTTTAAGTTTATTACTTTTTTTTTTTTTTGGCTAGGCAATGGGGTCAAGTGACTTTCCTAGGGTCACACAACTAGTAAATGTTATTGTGTCTGAGGCCGGATTTGAACTCAGGTCCTCCTGAATCCAGGGCCGGTGCTCTATCCACTGTGCCACCTAGCTGCCCCGAGTATATTATATTCTTAAAAGTCATTTATGTTATGTCTCTGAGCTATAATGTCTAATAAGTAAATGTCTTTGTCAGTAGGAAAGTATTTCATTTGTAGAAACTCATTTCAAAGACAAGTTTTCAGGGAATCACTAGATGCTTGTTGATTGAATGAAGAATTAGTTGCATAATATAGGAAACTGTTCCTCAGCAACTCCTTTGGGTATGTATAGTTGTATTTTTTATCCCACAGTTATATATCTTTAGAAATATAGTATGTTACTGTTAATAAATATAAAACATCTACTTTCATCTAGGCTGTGCTTTCTACAAAAGTCGCCTTTCTTCTACAATTTCTTGCATACTTTCCCCATATTAAAATACTGTTCCTGTCCTTAAGACACTATTATGTAAGGGAGAAAGATTTTTTTTTAATACAGTTTAATGTTTTCAGAGTCTTGTTCTTAAATAAAAATTTTCAGTCTTAGTAAGATTTACCTCTCAGGGATGAGTAAGTTATTTCATAAGTGAGGAAACATAGTAAGATTATAAATGACTAAAATTTCACTTTGATTCTTGGGGCAGAACAGGAATTAACTTCCTTAGTTTGTTAAGCAAGTCATTTTAATTTTGAACCTTGGCTTATTTTCTCCTTCTCAAAAAGAGAGACAATAACACATATGCTGCTTTCCTTGTGAACAAATGAGGTGAAATTTAAGCTAACCAAAGTAAATGCTCTTAAAATAATACGATTATTTTAAATCATCATCTTCCTTTTCTTTAATATCTAGTAAAATCATTGTTATTCCATATAAAGTCCCAAATCAAAGAACTATCTCTTGAAATAATAAATAGATGCGTTTTTAAAAAATGCTTTATTGATACTTTTTGTTTTTACATAAGTCATTTTCAGATATTTACCTCACTCTGTGAGCTTACCCTGTAACAAAGAAAACAGTTGAAACCAACCAACACAACAATCATGTCTGACAGTATATGCAACATTCTACAACCTTAGTTCCCTCTCTTTCTCAATCAGAAGGAGGGAAGTATAGTTCCTTATCTTTTTTATAGGGCCAAATTTAGTCATTATAGTTGCATAGAATTCAGTTAAATAGATATTTGTTTGTTTGTTTTTTAAGTGGGCTTTAATGTGAAGTTTTACATATTGAATTTAGTCAAAGTTTTCACCTTGACTCACATTATAAAATCGTAAATACTTTCCTTCCAAAAAACAGTTGACACCTCCCCACCTTCCAACTGTAACATACCATCTATATGGCATCTTATAAGAGTTTTCATATGTTGTCCCTGGTTCTGTTGTTTGGATAAAGTGAAATTATAATACTTGCTTATGTAAACAAATAGAATATAGAAAAGTTTTGTTAAAGTGTACCATAGTCCCAATTGCAGGTAATGATTGCTCTTAAAATTATCTTATAGCTTGAAATGTCTACCTTTAAAGACTAGTAAAAGCTGGCTTGTTTCAAAGAATCTTTCATTAAGGCTTTATTTATGGTATGTCAAAAATTAAGTTACTGTGATTTTAGTATGTAGTTTTACTCAATACTGATAATTGTCTATCCCAAGATCTCCATTGTGGTGACCCTCATTTTAGGACTTTGACAGATTACAGATTTCATTAATGTGAATACTGTACTCCCTCCATCAGTGTAATCATATACTGTATGTATATGTCATACAGTATAGTTGTCATAGTCCGGCTACACCTTTGCAATACTATGCGAGATTTCTGAGTGTTTCTCCATAAAACTTGCACAGAGGATCTACCCAACATCTTGTAGACCTTACCCTAGTACCTTTAGTGGTTCCCATTGCAATAATAATTCTACATGGTTGGCTTACTTCTTTTTCCAGGCAAGGGTCTTATATTATATAACATAATCAAGAGAAAATTGATATTAAAAATAAGAGCTTTTAAAGCAAGGAGCAGCTTAGGATCATTGAGAGTGCTACGCCAAATACATGGATGATCAAAAAAGATCATCTGGAAACTTTGAATAACTACCAAGAAAACATGGTAAGAGAATACAGATTAAAACAGCCCTGACATTTCACTTCATGCCATGCAAATTGGCAAATGTGGCAGAAGTTGGGATCTGTCATACAGTCTGTTGGAAGACAAGCACGTCAATATATTCACTTTTGATGGAGCTATGCAGTGGTCCAGTCATTCTGGATTATTTGGAATTATGCAAAATTGCCTTTTACATCTCCTCTCATCTAACAATCTCAGTACTGGGAGTATCCTCCAAGGATGTCAGAGATCCAGTATGTATCAATATGGTCATGGTAGCACTCTTTAGGGTTGCGAAGAATTGCAAACAAAGTAAGTGCCCATTGATAGGACAGTAACTCCAAAAAATCCATATAGCATATAAATGTGGGGGCATGATATTATATAGTAAGAAATGATGAACGTGAGGAATTGAGAGAAACACTGGAAAATGTATATGAACTGATACAGAGTGAAATAAGCAGAACAGAGAACAATATACACAAAGACTACAACAGTAGAAAAGAAAAGATCACTAAAAGGGAATTGAAATCTTACTAAGTGAAAAAAAACCAGTGATGCTCCAAGAGAAAAGAAAATGAAATGGACCTCCCCTCTTACTATGGAGAGAAGGAACACCAAATTTGAGACTAAAGTTACTCATTATGTCCATTGTTAGGTGCTGCCACTGTGTCAGATGTGTCTCTCCAAAGAGAAAGATGGTCAGGTGGCAAGATTTGGGCATCACTGATGAATTGTCCATGTACTCCACTGGTCTTCCTTTGGTGTCCATATTGAGTGGGCCCCTCTCTGTATTGAAATTATGGGAGGACATGGTTAAGAGTCCCACTAGATGGAATATGATCCCCATAGATGGAGGGAATGTTGCCCATCAGTGATGACACATCTATTTGAGATCTCCTTTCAGGGACTTTTTAGTGTCTGAAAGTGGGATGTACTCAGCATGCTGTCATCTGTAAACAAAAGCATCTGAATAATTCACTTCAGTCGACAAACCTATTTTGTGCCTAGTGGTTGCAAGGCTGTGCCAGGCTCCGGGAATACACTGACAGAGATGAAACAGCCTCATCCCTCAAGGAACCC